TTCTTTTTCCCAGAATTCTCTTCTGTCTACTCCGCCTACCTAATTTTCTGTCCTATGAGGGCCGAGGCAGTTTCTTTATTATTACAAGACCCACCTCCATCAACTGTGACTACAGATCCATGCACACACCCACACACCACACACACACACACACACACACACACACACACACGCTGGACACAGGAACTGATACAGAGCCATGGAGAAGTGCTGCTTACTGACTTGTTGCCCATGGCTTTCTCAGCTCTTTTACACCATCACAGGGCCACCCCAGGAGTGGTACTTCCACAGGAACTGAACCCTTCCTCATCAATCATTAACCATAAAAACGAACCCCACGCTTTCCCACAGGACAACCTGGTGGGAGCATTTTCCCAAATGAGAAATTTTCCATCTAAAATCCCTCTAACTTGTGTCAAGTTGACATAAAACCAGCCAGCACAGACATTGCGCTGGTCTTGTTTAAGCAAACAAAATCTTGAGATTTTATAGGTGGAAACTTCCTGTCCTTTCTAGAAGACACTATCTCATAGCAGTTGTCCTGGCCTCTGACTCTTAAAATCTTTCAGCTCCCCTCTTCTGTAATACCCCTGAGCCTTAGGTGTAGGAACTTCATTATAGATCTATCAGTTGGGGCCAGTGACTGTGACATCCCATAGCCATGTATCCTTTGCACTTTGACGAACTGTGGAATTCTGTAATAGCTTCCATCTACTCGCTCTGATGAGGGTTGAGAGCTACACTTATCTGTGGGTATAAGGATAAGGAACTATATTGCTTTGGGGGAAACAGCAGTAGTGGGCTTTTCTAGGATCTGTGACCTCTCCAGACATGAGTAGCTGACTAGACTTATAGTACCAAACATGAATTCCTTACTATTAAGTAAGCCTTAAGTCCACTTAGAAAGCTGTTGGTTACCGCAGGACATAGGGGTTACTACAGCACCTTGAGGTGATAATTGCTATCTGTGATTCATAGGTTTGACAGGTGGATAACATTATTGATTGCTTCTCCTTTGGCAGCTTGGAAAGCGCCATCAGATACTATGAGAGCTAGTCCTCAGGGAGGAGACTTCAGTTTATTCTTGTTTCCTCCAAGGCCTGTGCCCAAGGCTCACGGTGCCTTCAGCAATAGGGTCTTACTCTCAAGTACCGAGAGGCAGCCAAGGACAATGTCAATAACCTATATAGTTTGAGAGTCTCTTACATCCCCTGACCTCAAAGGGAGAGTTCCCATGCTGGGCACTGGGATTTTGTTAGATCCCAGTCTATGACTCTTGAAAGGGAGCATTATCACCCCTGGGGCATAACTCCATTAAATAATATTAATAATATATGTGTGTTATTTAAAAATGAATATTTACCAAACTGAATTAATTGCATACGTATTTAAAATAAGCTTATGAAGTAAAATATTTCCTTGTGGCTTTTTGAAACATCTTTAGTGTTATTTATTTCTCATTCTTCCCCCTCCCTCTGCGTTACCCTCCTCAGTCTTCACACCACCTTCCCTGTTTCTCTGTTTTCCCCACCTCAAAGCATCTGCCTCTTACCCGCCTCCCCCCCCCCCCCCCCCCCTCTTCTTTCCCTTCCCCCAGGATCCATTTTTCTGGATCCTGTGTTTATTCTAGTTGACATACACAGCTCCTATGATCCACAAATAAGAGAGAACATGTGACATTTGTCTTTCTGGGTTTGGATTATTTCCCTCAACATAGTGTTTTCTGGTTCTATCCATTTACCTAAAAAATTCACCATTTTGTTTTTCTTTACATCTGGTAGAAATCCATTGTAGATATTCAGCACATTTTTAGTCTCCATTATCAGCTGGAAGACAACTAGGCTCTTTTAGTGTCTTAGCTTTTGTGAGTAGAGAGCCAATGAGCAGGGCTGAGTAAGTTTCTCCGTAGTAGGATATCAGACCTTCGGGGGCATGTCAGGAAGTGATATAATCAGGTAATATGGTTAGTCAATTCTTGGTCTTTTGATAACTCTTCACATTGACTTCCATAGTGGCCACACCAGTTTGCAATCCCACCAAGTGAATGAAAGTTTCCTTTCCCCAAATCCTAACTACTAGTTATTAGTTGTTTTCTTTATTGATGATTGATTGATTGATTGATTATTTGAATATTTTATTTTTAAAATCAGACATGACAACAGTTGGCACATTTCCTGCCTCAGAGGAAGAAGACATAAATGTTTTTCCCCTTAGAGAAATGTTTTTTTTAAATTTTTTTTTAAAATAGATTCTTTTCTCATATAGTACATCCTGATTACAGTTTCCCCTCCCTCTACGTCTCCCAGTTCTTCCCCCACAACCCATCCCATCTGGATCCACTCCCTTTCTGTCTGTCATTAGAAAAGAACAGACTTCTAAGAGGTAACAACAAAACATAACAAAAGAAAATATAATAAGCTAAAACAAAAACTGTCACATCAAAGTTGGACAAGGCAAATCAACAAAAGGAAAAATGGCCCAAGAGAAGACATGAGAAGCAGAGACACACTCATTCACACACTCAGGAGTTATATAAAAGTACTAAACTTAAAGCTATACTATATATGCAGAGAACCTGGTGTGAGCTGTGTTAGCCCTGTGCTTGCTGCTTCAGACTTTGTGAGCTCATATGATTTTTTGCTCACTTGGTTGAGAGGGCCTTGGTCTCCTGGTGTCCTCCATTCCCTCTGTCTCCCCAATTCCTGCTTCCTGAGGTCTGAGGGATTTGATAGAGG